TTAATAACTGGGTAATTTCTAGTGTATATAACTTACAGGAAAAGTGAATGTCAAGCATTTGTAATACTCACATGAAAGTATTGTTTGTGAACATTGTGGGTATGTGTATAATACCGTGTACACGTTATTCTCAGGTACATTTTCCTTGACTACTTTTCTTGTTTGTGTAGGTAATGAAAAATTTGAAAATTAAGAAATTGGGTCACTAGAAATTTTGGTCTACTTTAATGCCGTTATTAAATGTGGGAAGGAAGGAGGGCAGACTTTTTTTTTTTAATGTAGCCTAAGTATTTTTACTGGAAAAATATCTGCTTAGTTTGTCAAAGAAGATTTCACAATGGTGAAACTTGAATTTGGAGAGCTTTCTGATTTAGTATAAATTGGAATATCTGACACAGGTACCTGAAAAAGATTAATATGAAAAATGTTTGGCAGGATGCTAAAAGATGAAATGCTGAAATAAAGTGGGGAGGATGGCATTCCAAAAATTTCTTTGAAAAGCTGTTTAAGAAGTTACTCTTTAGAACTTACTACATTAAAACTAAAATTTACATAGGAAAGGAGTTAAAAAATAACAGTGTGCAAGCGGAATAATTTAACATTAAAACAAGTTCCTTTAGAAACAAATTTAGTTGGTGGTGAAGGGCAGGCAAAGAGTGTTCACAGTTAAACTCCTTCTGTTATGTCTGACCTAGCTGTTCTAAGGAATCTACAGACGTATTTATGAAAAGCATTTAAAATCCTTTATCATTTTTCATCTACACACTGATGTTTATGTTTAGAAGCTGATATAAACGAGGATAAAACTTGTTACTGATTATATTTGATAATAAAGTATAGCTGCTGTTCTTAAACTAAAGTCTCTGATTTGGGGTTCTAGGAGTCCCAAGACTTTCAGAACTTCTATGAACTCACAACAGTGTCAAGACATTATTTCTCACCTCCACAAGTGTTCAGAGTTTTCTTGAGACTACATGATTTAATATTACCACAGATTGGATGAAGAAGCAAATATGAGAAACCACCTGTTTCTACCAACTATTAAAATTTTGCAGAGATGTAAAACAAAGCTACTTACTAAGTTTTCCTCAGTGAATTAAATGTTTTAAAGTTTTCTTAATTTTAATTGCAAATAGGATACATATGGCTTATAGAATCTTGTTGCAATCTCAGTAATCTGAGTGCAAAAGGGTCTTTTGACCAAAACAGTTTGAGAGGAGTTCAGGTGTATTCTAGCCATTAACTACTTGCGGCTGTTGGATAGCCACCAAATTTTAAATTTTACTTGATTTTCATTAACTAAACAGTGAAGCGGTGGGGAACTAGTGATTAGATTACATGCCGAAATGACAGTGTTTCAGATATGCTGGGTTAAATGCAAGGTATGATCCTTTAAACAGTTTGACTGGAGCGACTGGCTGTAGTGAAGTCAGCCTCAGCGCAAGCCCGAATTCTTAAGGTTGTGCTGGTGTCCATCACCTGGCTGGCATCCCCCACCCTCCCAACCCCAGAGGGGCTCATGGCATCCTCTGCTGCTTTTTAAAATTGTGGTTGCTGGAAATGGAAAGACTATGTGTGACTGACAGCCTTTTATGGAGTAGCTCTGCTTTTGAGATTAATTTTAGTTCCCTTTTCATACTTCACAACTTGACAGTACTGTTTAGAAAGGCAAGGAGAAGAGGTACAAGTGGGATGTCCCGGACCTCTACGTTTTCCTCCCTTTTCTTTGCACCCCTTTGTAGCCTTCATTCACTTCTCGGCGTGTTGCAGCTGTGGGCACTAGCAGCCAAGTGGTGGTGAGGCAGGCGAGGTAGCTGCGATGACCTTGTGGCCACAAGCCGTGGCCTTGCTCTTCCCACCATCACCTGTTGAAGAGTTTACGGATTGCCCCATCCCACTGTGCTCAGGTTGAATTTTATTTTTGATTTGAAGAATATTATTATGAGCTAGATGGATTGCCAGCATTCGCTTCTGCAAAGCTTAGTGGTATGTCTCTTGTCAGACTTAATTACCAAGTTTGGTATTTTGTAACAGCTGTTGAGTGAGTCTGGAATAGGCTGCCATACAAATACCAGTTGATTAGAAAGCTAGAAATGGAACAAGAGGACTGACTAGTAGTGAGGGCAAGCATAAGCAAATTAAATTGTTGGTATTGTGATTAAAATTGCTTTCAGATTTCTTTGATAATTTATTCAGGGAGGACTGACCAACAGCACCCATCTGCCAGACTAGCTTCATTGTTTGTTTTCAAAATGAGTTGCTTATTTTTTCTCCCATAAGTTTCATTAGACAGTTATCAGTAAATAGAATTTTAATTTGAGAAAAGAATTTTTCCTCTTGCTCATATTCTGTCTGCTTTGATTGTATTCACCCAGTCAGATTCTGATTTATCTTAGTTGTGGGGAATTTAATTTTAGGTGTCTTTGAATTACTGATCTGAGCAACATATTGAAAGTTTTAAATGGTTACAGAAACTTGAATGCAAGAATGATTTCTTAAACTCCTGTTATCAAAAATCACTTGTTGACCAGTGTCAACAAAAGGAAAAAATAAAAAGAGCTCACTGTCTTGGAAACTGTCATGGTGGTATCCCCGTAAATTGATAACTGAGCTCCTTAGATGTGCATGTGTTTGATTGTGCTAGGGTTATTTTAGTTAGTACATAAGAACGATAAAGAGTCAAATTAGTAAGCAACCAAAAAAAATGCAGCACTTCTAGCATCCTGCTAGCTTTTACAGAGTAACTTAGTTTTGAATGGTGTGGCTCTCTGAAATACTGGTAAAGATGTGATACGGTGGGACAACCTGTACGTGTGGGAGCAGAGCAGTTTGTCCGTGGTAGGTGCACAGCGGCCATTTGTGGGCTGCACAGCGAGTCTTGGATGTTCTGGGGAGTAGTCTCAACCTAACTTAAAATATGAGCAAGTAGATTTTCTTTCCAAACCTTCTTGGTGTTTTACTTTGCCCATGTATTCTGGGAAATATGTTAAATTGGGGAAAGAGGAGAGGCGGAGGGCAGAAATAAAAACAAGGAACTAGACTTAAGAAATAATTTCCACTGACCTAACATAAAACCATAGTTAAGAAAATGTACCTCAAACTGGTAAACATTCAGGGCAGTATACTATATAACTGGGCAATTCCATTATCAAGTACTAGACACCATGGCCGTGGAAGCTGTGACTTTGATTCAGTGGAGTTTTAGGATATCTTAATACAATTACAGGAGGATTTAGTTTATCCAGGACGGTTTATTAATAGCGCTTAAGACAACAGCTAAATTGCAACACAAGTCAGACTTTAAAGAGAACGACATTTCTGGAATCAAATTTAAAAACCTGAGAGTTTGCTCTCCAGGTTCTTTAGTGTATGTGAGTATTATAGGAGGTACTTTAGGAAAAAACGCTTGAAGAGGATGTATTTTATTTTTACTAAGTTTCTTAAAGTTGAATTAAACAGACTGAATCCTTTGCTTCAGTGAAGCTGCAGATAAAGAGTAAGCAGGGTCACCTAAAGATAGATTTACTTAGAGGTTTGGCTGCCTCTCTGGAACCAGTTAGCTTTGAGCAGATTTCCATAAATGGAAAGAGCAACTGGAGAGACCGGTACCTTGCAGAGCGTGTGGATGATGAGCAACAGGTGGTGCGGCGTCACTGGGACTTTTATGAATGTTCTCCAAGTGGCTGGTGGTCAAGGTTGAGGCATTGACGTTTCTTTGGTGACTTTTGGGACCATGGGAATTTTTGCTTTTCAGTTGAGAGTTTCCTGGGCACAGCTGAAAAAACGTTTATATGTTTAGTGTGTGGAACTTGTGAATGTGTAATGTGGCTTTAGGAAATATGTATAAATATTTCCTTCTAGAGAGGACTTCTTGAGGAAATGTATCAAATTAGATCTTATTTCTGAGCCTCTTAACGAGTGAAATCTTAAGTACTTTAAGTTGGATGTGAAATTAATATATTGCTAAGATAAGAAGCCTGTGCTTGAATCACTGATGTTCTTGTGACTGGGCTGTCCTTAGCTTCAGTACATAAGAGGTATTTACATGCCTACTATATGAAAAATGTGTGTCAGAGACACTCCCTCTCCTCCACCTGAAGGAGTCTCACAGGTATAATAGGTGATCCCCATTTACTGAATTGTTCCCTATGCCAGACACTGTGCGGACTTTCTGTATGGGGATTACTTTGCACCATATGAAGTAATTAATATTCCTGTTTTGTGGGAGAGGAAATTGAGGCTTACATGAAATTATGTCACTGGCTTAGAATGATAGAAAATGTAAATGGCAGCGATTAGAACCCAGTATGGAAAGCTCAGACTGCTGATGTCCTGGTTCACAAGTAGTTTAATCAGCAGAGCATAAAGTAATTAGCCAGAAGTTTAGAAAAGGGGGGTAGTATTAGAAAAGGAACCCTTATGGAAACACTTGTAAAGCTGTCTTCACTGAGGTGAAGCTCAGTGATGGCCAATGAGGTCCTAAAGGAGAGAGCAAGGAGGCATTTATTGTGAAGTGTTCCTCAGTGCTTCCATGCTAAAGCTAATGAACTCAACCAAAGGGTCTGTAAGAACTGAATTAATGAAGGTAACTGAGAAATGTGTGTCTGATGGATCTTCTCGGGTGGTGCATTGATTTTAGAGGCGCTGTATCATAGTACATAATCCATCAGCGATTGCTAATCTACAGAACTGTCCTTCCCCTCTTACTCAGTTACTTTTGGCCTAAAGTTGATACGGGGTTCAGATTTCAAGGGTCTTTGTTTTCCTTTGGATAAGATTCAGAAATTTCTTAGTTCTCTCCAGTCAAATTCAATAAGTTGCTTTATAATCAATACTCATAAAGTATTGATAATAGATCTGTAAACTAATGTGGACATGTATTATCAGTGACTTATTTAGAGTCATTTACACGAACTTTTTCTTGTATGTTAAGGTACTTGTTTCTGATGGATCCTCTCACATGGTGCATTTTTAATTGAGTAGTGCTTGTTTTCCCCCAGTGGAAGCATCAGTTCATGGCAGTAATGCTCACTGTACAGATAAGACGATCGAGGCCGCCGAAGCCCTGCTTCATATGGAGTCTCCAACCTGCTTGAGGGAGTCGAGAAGTCCTGGTATGTGAACTGTTCTCTTGCATGTTAAACACTGTTGCTTCACTTCATATATCTAGAATGAATTTTATTCTTTTGGATTATTGTTATGGTCAAGGTCTATTACACATGAATTCCTGGGATAGCAATTATTTGATTGGTATTTGCCAAGTTCCTGTACTTTGAATACTTCCCATAACAGATGATAGAGAAGATGCCAACTATGGACGGACTGTCTGTCTCCTTTAATTTCCTGGGTAGATGGAACCTTTGTAGGCCTTCAGAGAAGGGTAGATGGAGAACAGCGGACTCTGGGCCACTGTCACAGTAACCCTGCAGAGCTGTCTGGTGGAGAGAGGAGCCAGTGCCCACCATGCGCCCACACTTCCAGGCAGCGCGTTTTCCTTCCACGGTCCGCTTCTTTCTTTAAGTCTGCCACCGAGAGTTTGTCCTAATTTTGACTTGTCCTGCTTTCACTTGACTGTCCAAATGGTAATTTGACTTAATACAGTAAGATTAACCCTCCTCAAGGGGTTTACAATAAATACTAAGAACAACCACCCTTTTTGATGAGACTAGGAATCCCTTGTATTATGTACAGGTACGAGAAGGAAGTCGGGGCATATTGGCTCAGTGTATTATCCCATGATAGTAACTATTAAGTATCCCTTACTAATGTCCTAATCAGTCCTGTAAACTGGCCGGAAGGTGGAGCAACATTGTGTGCTATTCTAATGGCCAAAAATATCAGGTCTCTTCTATTATGTGAGATTTTAAATGTTGAAAAATATATTCACTGGATCGTAATGCCCGGGTTTTTTTTTTCCTGTTTAAACTGAAGGACATGCTTGCTTTTCATTGCATGCTTATATTGTTTTATCATTTCTACATTGTGCCTTTATTACCAGGTAAAGAATAATTGTGGGTATGTGGAAGGGAGTAATTACTAATGAACTCACTCTTAATAATAGACTCATGTCAGAGTAGCCCAGTCTTCTGAGATGAGCTTGGTAGTGTCCGGAAGTATGAGGAATCGGGGGTGACCACTCATGGTCACTGTCTTACCCAGACGACTAACGTTTCCTTCAAGTCGGTTTTCTTTGCATCTATTTCTTTACTTTAGAGCATATTGCATATTCAGCAAATTAACTACAAGCTCTTTTCTTGCTGTGTGAATTCTTAATGAACCTCATGTCTACTAAATACTGAACTGTCCTCATTAAGAAGCATTAGTTGGGGTGGGAAGTTTTAATTTCTCAACTTTTTTTTATAGTGGAAGTGTTTGTCCCTCCTTGTGTATCAACTCCAGAATTTATCCATGCTGCTATGAGGCCAGATGTCATCACGGAAACTGTAGTGGAGGTGTCAACGGAAGAGTCCGAACCAATGGATACTTCTCCTATCCCTACATCACCTGATAGCCATGAACCAGTGAAAAGGAAGAAAGGTAGAGTGTGTTTTGTGTGTCTCTGTAGAAGCAGGTGCTGCTGTATTTTTTGCTGTCATTTTTCCCCTCAGGGGACATGGGAAGGATATGCTTGATGCGGTCTTACCTAGATTATTCTCACAGAATCACTAAGTTGAGATTTCAATTTTGCATTTTAGCAAGTTCATACTGTTGTAGGGAGTTAGTACTTGAGCTCTAAAACTAGTCGCCAGAAACTGGTAACAGGCATTGGGCGCACAGAAGCAGTTAGTCACTGCGTATTTGCTTTCTGGTCCTTTTAGCTGTTTAAAAGTTACTTTAGGGCCCTCCCTGGGGGCACAGCACTGCAAGCTATCGCAGCCACTTCAGTGCAAGTTGAACTCCCAGCCCCGGAGGTGACCCACATGACGCAGCAGACCTCTCCTGACCTGCCTGCTGCTCTTCATCAATCTCTGCTCCCCACTCTGTCTCTGGTGAATCCTCTCACTGCCTCTGCACCTCTGGCTTGTACCCCAGTTCTGTATGCGTGCATGTATGCATGCATGTATGAATGAACAAAAAAATCTTTAAAAAAAAGCCATTCTCTTTTTCATAATCTTAGCTTTCGCACTGTGTGGGCAGTAAGAAGCCCACATTACTCACTTCCCTGGGCCTGCTGTGCTGGAACACTGAGGTTTGCCAGTAGCGCCCTCTGTGTGGCCTTCACTCACCAGTGGGTGAAGAGCCTTTCCACTTATTCCTGTTGCTGAAGCCTCCGCACTTGGTCCTGGGTGAGATGCACGGCTCTAGCGTGTATTCAGTAGCTGGAGGAGACAGGCAGCGAGTGGGTCCTTTTCCTGTGTGAATCAAAGATGAAACAAGCTGAGCCTACGCATTTTCAAAGCTTTTAATAGGTTTGCAATGTGCATTCTGCATCTCCAACAGGAGATGCACCATGCTGTCCTCTAAAAGTTAATTTTACCACAGAACCCTTCTTTCCCTGAGGGGCAACCTGTTTTTTAAGGAATATTGATTTGGCGAATGCTGCTTTATGAGAAAATAACGTTCCCTTACCTGCCCACATCCATCCACCAGTGTGCAGGGCTGAGCACAGTTCATTTCAGACGTTGTCTCCTTTTGTGTACGGAAGTCTGGCTCTCGCTGCCTGGTTGTCTCCATGCTGTTGTTTGGGAATACATGCCTTACAGCAGAACGGAGAAACAAAGGAAAGGCACCTTTATAGACGTGAAATGATTATTCAGAAGATTTTTATTAGCCTGACAAGATACCTGCACATTGAGGTAATGAATGAAAATTTATGCTTAAAATTCTGGTTAATTGATTGGCTCAGCCAGAGCGGTGGAGTGTCTGAAAGCAGATTTCACTTTTCCTCATTTGCGCTCAAAGGACTTTGCAGATTTTCAGATCCTCTTTAATAGGCAGGTGAATTTTTCCCTAGCAGTTCTGTAGAACAACAAGCAGAAAGTTGTACTAGAAATTGTTTCCGTTGCCTCGCTGTTAGAAAAGGTTCACAGTTGGCGGCTCTGACCATAGTAGATTCTGCAGTGCCTGACTTGCATGCACACAGACATTACCACCAAATAACTGCTGTGATGTGAAACTGCAGATGTGCTTTTAATGCTGTTTTTATTTTTGTTAAAGATTAATTGATGCATACAAGAATTGGGGTGCAGGCCAGAGGTGCAGGGGGGCAGGGTGAGAGGATTCACCAGAGACAGAGTGGGGAGCAGAACAAGCGGGTCCACTGAAATCCATTGCTGAGGGAGCAGCGGAAGATGGGAGAGGGCTGCTGCGCCCTGGGGTCCCTCCCTGGCCAGGGAACAAAGTCATGTTGCAGCGGCTGCAGACAGCTTCACAGTGCTGATATTTTAACTCACTGTGCCACCAGGGAACCCTTAATACTTGTTTTAAAAAGAACTTTTTAGGCTCTCCCTGGGGGGTTGCAACAGGTTAAAGCACAGCACTATGAAGCTCTCCAAAGCTGCTGCAGTGCGAGTTCGATCCCCATCCAGGGAGCTGACCCACATGGCGCAGCAGACCACTCCTGATCTGCCCGCTGCTCCCCTCAGCAGTGTATTTCCATCAGTCTGCCTATTCTGCTCCCCACTTTGTCTCTGGTGATACCTCTCACCACCTCTGCATCTGTGCCTCACCACCCCGCATCTGTATGCAGAAAAAAAATTTTAAACATACCTCGAGTATATCACACTGCAAGCTAGCATCCAGTTTCATGAGTAGTGTGTTACCCAAGAGTCTGCTAGTTGTGCTTTTATTATTTTTCCTGTATTCAGTGTATGATTTTGATATCTTATTTTTTCAGTTGGCCGTAAACCAAAGACCCAGCAATCACCAATTTCCAATGGGTCTCCAGAATTAGGTATAAAGAAGAAGCCCAGAGAAGGAAAAGGTAATTGGGGAGAGGGCTATTTTGGAGGCGAGATGACATTTTCAGTCAGGTGAAGGAAACAGATTTGCCTTTCTAAGGGAATTCTTTCTCATCCATGTATATGTGAGGGTCCTGTCTTGGGATCGTTGTTCACCAGGGGCTCTCGATCACTCCCTGGGGAGCTTCTTCAGACTGTCCATGCCCAGTGCATATTGCACTGGCGGTACTGTGGGCATTGAGTCCGGGAAAGTGCCCAGGAGCAGCCTGTGTGCGTGTTCCGGACCCATCCTCCTGGGGCGGTGTGTGATGGCGCAGGTTCTTACAGGGCCCCTAGAGTTGGAAGAAGCTTACAAAGAAGACTTATTTCTGCCAGTTAGTGTCTTAACTGACAGAAGCTATGCAAGAATTTAAGGCAAGTCAGCAGGTTGCAGCCATGTGGGTCATACCGTGGCTTGGTTTTAGAACGCGTGTGTGTCTTCACGAATTCCCTCTAGACAGAAGTAGCGGTCAGTCCTTGTGCAGCAGCCTGCCCTCCCTGCCCTGTCCTCTCCGCTGCGGGCATTGGCTTCAGGTGCTTTTTAAAATAGTGGCTTTTGAGCGTTCTGATAATCTGACAGCAGCCATTTACCACTTCTGTGAATGAATGTTCAGGCCAGTTATTTAATACTTGAATATGTTTTGGATTAATATATTCAAGTTCATTCTATCCGCATTAGGAAGTCTGACATACAATAATGAAGTCCGTAAAAAAAAGTTTTCTAGTAAACCTGCTAAGAATTTTGTTATTTAGCCCAAAATAATCTAGTTACAGTCAACTCCTACTTATTCAGGAGCTTATAATTCAGTTTTGTCAAATTTGGGATACTTATTAAAGGTTTCTTGTCTGTCTGTGGTCACTTTACATTTTTAACACTGGTTTTATCGCTCAATTTATATTTAAAACTTCCATAATAGTAGAGACTAGACACTAAATTATAAATATACAGTCACTGTTTTTTGAGTGATTACATTATCACTGGTGTGTCTGGGTTTCTGGTGCTCAAAAAACATTTTTGCTTAACAAGGAAGAAAAATTTGTAGCAAAATTTGAGGCAACGTGTTACAATGTCATAAAGTTATTGGCCACACCTGGATTAAAAATCCACTCAGTATTTATTTCTGCCTCATGAGCTTGGTGAGCAGTGTGTGATGAGGGCTGCCCCGTCTGATTTCTGCTTCCTTAAAACCAGAAACACTGTTCTAAAGACTAACTTAGGGGAAGGTGCTGCGGCGGAGTGGCGGTCAGCGTGTGTCGGTGAGGCGCTCCGCTCCCCACAGTGAGCATGGCATTGTACTGTACAGAACTTGGGCGTGGACTCGCTGCTCTCTGTCCTGTGTTTACTCAATAGCGTTGATAGTATCCTGGTCGTAAACAGTGATGGAGTGAAGGTTGTGCATGGTTTAAACCAGCAGGAGATTTTAGGTATTGGTGGTTCAGTGGGGCTTCAGACGTGGAAATGAAACACTGAGGGCAACCTTTTCTAGGTCAAGGGAAGCATGCTGGACTCACCTGTGGGCAAATAAATGTATTCACATTTCGGGGAAGTCAGGGTGAAAACGAGGTGCCCGCCTTTAGGTTGAGTAATAGCTGCTTGGTTTCAGAGTTTTGTACCCTGAGGTCTCGTGTAGCCAGCAATTTGTCTCGGGGCTTGAGGATATAAAGGAACAGTGAGTTGGAGCCTAGAGATGACCCTGGCGACTCTGGGCCCTTGTATGTTCCGGTCTCGTCTCAGGGTTCTTCTCTGGCTATCTGTGAGTGGTAGCAACCTCTGCTCTTGCAGGCTTTTGAAGGAATAAAAGACAACAGTTCCTTCAAAGCCTGCTTGTCCTATAACCCCTGCCAGCTGCGCTCTCTCCCCGCTTCCGGAGGGAGCAGGGACACTTTCTCCCTTTTTGGGATTAAGTTTCTTGGCTTCCCTGTCCAGATCCCACCTTTGTCAACTCTGAACATGTCAGGATGTCTTAACGTTCACTTTATTTTTTGTTCCTGAAATCCCAGATTAATATTCTTTTAATATTCTTTTCTTCTTTAGAATATAACTATATATTGAGTTGTGATAATGTATAATGTTTCAACTTTTTATTTCTTGTATTGTTTAACTTGCCCTGTACTCTTTCCCAGCTAAATTGTCAAATCATAGAGTTGCAGGAACTTTTCCTCATTGTTAAGTTTTACTGTAATGTGAGCAAATGTTTTATGTAGTTTAACATTTGATGAATACTTAGGAATGACTAGGTTCTTTTTAGGGAGTTCACTGTACGCTTTTCAGTCAGGCAATTGAAACTTCGCCTTTCTCGGGGAATTCTTATCTGTGAGAGTCCTGTCTTGGATGGCTGTTTACTAGGGGCTCTCGATCACTCCCTGGGGAGCCTCCTCAGCCTCTCCAAGCCCAGCCCTCTTATGTTCATGTGTTATGAAAGTGTTCTCCTGTTAACTTCTGTGGTACTGAGTATGTTCCCTAGAACAGGGTTAGCAGTTTTTAAAATAACTGCTTTTAGTGGTGGTAGCTTTCATTGATACAAAATTGAAATTGACTAGCGGTCCAGAGGAGGATGATAGGAGACTTTCTCGTATTTGCACGTTCGTAAGACCTAGTCCTCAGAATTTGTGCCTGTGAGTTAATCAAAGAAGTGTTGCTGCAAAAAAGACCCTTTTAGACTGATACTTGAAAGTTAAATTCTTTGGGGCTTTATTTAATAAACTTAGAGGTGCAAATTTATCTTATTGGGACTTAAATCTATGTGAATGAATAAATTTTTTTTTATTACAAAGTTGTGAATGAATAAATTTGATTGTTAAATTTAGGTTTCACCTTGGACTTTCCTGGACTCAGAATCTGGGATAGGGTGATAAATAATGTGTGAGCTAGTACAGACTCCAGGATCTCTATTACATTAAAACCATAGCTGGGAGCATGCAGTAGGACACTAACTTTATAAACAGCAGACAAGCTGTTTTTGATTTTCATGTTACAGTGAGATAGGTTATTTACCAGACAACACAACTTGATGCTACGCAAGTGATTGTTGATATAGTTAAGCTGAGGTATATTTATGTTTCCCCAATGGAAAAAAATTTTTTTTTTTTTAATTTTATTTACACATACAAGAGCTGTGGTGTAGGCCAGAGGTATGAGAAGGTGAGAGGGATCACTAGAGACAGTGGGGAGCAGAGCAGGTGGGTCCACTGAAATTCACTGCTGAGGGGAGCAGCAAGTTGACAGGAGAGGCCTGCCATGCCATGTGGGTCACCTCCGGGGTGGCGATCAAACTCAGGCTGCAGTGGCTCTGAACAGCTTTATAGTGCTGACACTTGACCCCTTGTGACACCAGGGGGGTGGGAAATAATTAAATATTTCATTATTTACCCAGCATAATTAAATATTTCATTCTTTTCTAATCAATATCTATCATTATTTTCAAAGGAAACACAACCTATTTGTGGGAGTTTCTTTTAGATCTACTTCAAGATAAAAATACTTGTCCTCGGTATATTAAATGGACTCAGAGAGAAAAAGGCATATTCAAGCTTGTGGATTCAAAGGCTGTTTCTAAGCTTTGGGGAAAGCATAAGAACAAACCAGACATGAATTACGAAACTATGGGACGAGCTTTGAGGTAAGAACATAAGAGAGCTCAGTTTCCAAACAAAACTTAATACTTTATATTGTGTATGAGCTGTTTAAAGAGAATCTGTTAAAATTATTTATTGTAACTTTTAGTTTTGGGGGTAGTCTAGAGGAGTTTCTTGGATTTGGAGAGAATTTTGTCTAGATATTTAATATCTTAGTCAGGAAAATCCATTTTTGCAGAATATGAATTTTTGTACTTAAGTGGAAAATCAAACCCAAACAAAATATAGTTTCCAGGTGGTTAACTTGGTTTTTGAAAAAGTTCCTGCGGACTTTATTTAGTAATTTATTTTTACATCTCGTGCCCTTTTCCATCTCAGTTGTCCCGGGAATTTATTTTAATGGACTTGTCTTGACATGAGCATTTTCTGACCAGTTTTGAGACACCTGCAGATGTTGTGATGAACACGGCTTCTCTGACTGATGGTGCTCGTAAGGGAATGTGTAGTTGGTGTGGCAGAGATCATGTACCCCACAGAAGAACCTCTCAAGTGTGGCTTAGATAATGCCTCACTTTGCATAGCTTGTTTTTATAATCTTCAGGAATGATCAGCTTTTACAGTATCACTAAGTGACTAAGAGAATGAGCTTACAACTTTGCAGCAGCTTGAGGTCCTAGGACTCGGGCAGCAGGTCCCAGCCTCAGTGCCGTGCAAGCCCTCAGCTTTTTGAGCAACCTGGGCTGTAAGAGCTCCCTGTTGTTACCTGTTACAGGAGCAAATGAGTATTTCTGTTAACATCCATTCTGTATGGTATTTTTTGGGGTGGTTTGGTTGTCTTTTGGGGGGGGGAGGGCAGGTAACACATCTGACTCAGTCAGTGCTTTTTCCCTCACAGATACTATTACCAAAGGGGTATTCTGGCGAAGGTCGAAGGACAGAGGCTTGTGTATCAGTTCAAAGATATGCCCAAAAACATAGTGGTCATCGATGATGACAAGAGTGAAACCTGTAATGAGGATTTAGCAGCAGCTACAGATGAAAAGTCGTTAGAACGTGTGTCACTGTCTGCAGAAAGTCTCCTGAAAGCAGCAACATCTGTTCGTGGAGGGAAAAACTCGTCTCCTCTAAACTGCTCCAGAGCAGAGAAGGGCGTAGCTCGGGTTATGAATATCACTTCCCCAGGTCACGATGCGTCCTCCAGGTCCCCGGCTACCACCGCACCCGTGTCAGCACCAGCAGCTCCAAGGTAAGGGAGGGTCCACTGGTGGTGTTGTGTTCACTTCCTAGAAAGCTCCTCAAAGCTCCTCAGTAGAAAAAAACGTGGCCCTTTCACTGTAACATCCTCAGTACCCACTGTTGTCAGGGACTTTGAAGAAAACGCCTCATGGCTTTCTTGCTTTGCTTCTTTTTTTGTTGAAGATTCATTTATGCATACAAGAGCTGCGGGAGTGAAAGGGTTTCCCAGAGACAGTGAGGAGTAGAACAGGTGGAGCCACTGGTATCCCTGCTGAGGGGAGCAGCGCCATGGGGTCATTCCCTGGCGGGGGCTCAGACATGCGACAGAGGCAGCGGAGAGCTTCGAGGCGCTGCGCTTACCCCCTTGCGCCACCTACCAGGAGGCTCAGGATGCTTCGTGTCTTCAAGTGGCTATCTCATCCAGAGGGAGCTGGCTTTGTGATTTTTATAACTGGACCTTAATACGAGTGTTGATTTTAGATTTGTTTCATATTTTAAAGTTCAAGGGTATCAGTACACCAATAAACTTTGGGGTGCTGATGTCCATTTTGGGTTCGCTCTTTGCTCACGATATTCTAACTGAGCATTAGATACAACCAGTTTCTTTTTTTAATCTAGGACAGTCCGTGTGGCGATGCAAGTACCCGTTGTCATGACGTCACTGGGTCAGAAAATTTCAACTGTGGCAGTTCAGTCCGTTAATGCCGCCGCGCCGTTAATAACCAGCACTAGCCCAACCACAGCGACCTCGCCAAAGGTGGTCATTCAGACAATCCCTACTGTGATGCCTGCCTCCGCGGACAGTGGAGACAAGATCACCATGCAGCCGGCCAAAATCATCACCATCCCTGCTACCCAGCTCGCACAGTGTCAGCTGCAGACGAAATCCAACCTGTCGGGGTCGGGAAGCATCAACATTGTGGGGACGCCACTGGCCGTGAGAGCACTGACCCCCGTCTCTATCGCCCACGGTACACCTGTCATGAGACTCTCCGTGCCTGCTCAGCAGGCCTCTGGCCAGACTCCTCCCCGGGTGATCAGCGCGGTCATCAAAGGGCCAGAGGTTAAATCGGAGGCAGTGGCCAAAAAGCAGGAACATGATGTGAAAACTCTGCAGCTGGTACAAGAGGAAAAGCCAGCAGATGGGAATAAGACAGTGACCCATGTGGTGGTCGTCAGTGCGCCTTCTGCTATTGCCCTTCCAGTGACTATGAAAACAGAGGGGCTGGTGACGTGTGAGAAATGAGCAGCAGTCCGCCGTGGCCCCAGACTGCTAGTGCCAGTACTGACGTAAATATCTGCAAGGGATGTTACTAGAAGAGTCAAAGGAAGACTTTAAACCATTTTTAATGCATATGAGAAAACAATCAGACTTACTGGAAATAAATTACCTGTCCCATGTTTCAGTGGGAAATGAACTACATGTTGAGATGCTGACAGAAAACTGCCTCTTACACTAGGAAAACAAGTGACCCCATCAGTGGAGGACCAGAGGGACCAAGCAGCTCACTACAAAGTCGTTACACTAAGACTTGGAACACTAACGTTCTGTAAGAGGCTACAGTTTTCGGCGGGAGGGGTTGGGATGGGTGATCTCATTGTTACATAGAGCAATTTTTGATGCATTTTATATGCATACCAGCAATTATTACTGTGTTCACACAGAACTCACTTAACTGGTGCTATGTGAAGACTGCTAATATAGGTATTTTAGAATGTGAATTGAAGAATGGATCCAAAAGCTTCAGAAAGAGGAGAGCAAAAAAAGATCTAGTGCGACTTTTTTTTATATATATAAATATATATATATATATATATATATCATATAGCTTAAGCTGATTTAAAACAAAGGCCTTAGACTAAAATTTTCGGTTTTCTTTCTTGAAATAAGCTAATGGCTTGTTTGTGTAAAGCTTTTTTATTAAAAGAAAAATTTTAAAAACCTTGTACCTAGCACAGTATTGTTATAGAATTTACATGTAACATTTTATATGGTAGTTTAAGTCTGTCAGTTTCTTAATGTGGACAAATGGACAGTTGGCTCTGGCCTCTTGCGGACACGCCCGTGTCGCCCACGCACCCTGGCGCCTGTGCAGACGCAGCAGTTTCAGTTTTACTGTCACTCGGAAGTGTTCAGGCTCAGCATGAATTCTTGTCAGGTGGCGCTGCAACCTGGAGTTTTCCCTTTTTTTTTTTTTTTTTTTTAATTTTGTTGTTGGAGTTTGAGGGAAAGTACCAGTGTTCAGGTTTGAACTGTACTAGTTTGTATATTCAACATTTGAAGTATATTCTATTTTGTTGTACTCTTGTTTCAAAGTGTATTCAAGTAGGTTTTCTGAAATATAGAAATGAAATTTATCTTGTGTTTTGGTCTCTGGTGATATTTATAACTGTTGGAAAGCTAGGATAGAGATACTGCTCTACTTAGAAGTAAAAGCGGTCCTGTTTCTCCTTCTCAACTACTGTGTGAAGAAATTCTACTTTTCTTTTGTTCTACGACATTCACATTGGGCAGGTACCTGCGTGTTGCTACTTCCTATCTGATGACTTTCACAAATTCTAGAACATTCTACTTAGAGTGAACTGGCTGTTCTAATGTTGGCCATACGTACTCTAAGTCAGACTGTTTCACAGCCAGACCTGTGCACGGGTCAGCAGGAACAGGGTACTCCCTTGCCCTTCTGCAGATAAGGGGGTTCTGGCACCTCCCAGCAGACTAAGTCCTGTGACTCTCCATCTTAGTACTCTTTCTACTACAAAGAAAAGCTGTCTATTTTTTCAACTTTTAGAAATTTAAATAAACTGATACTTAATATTTTGTGGCCTTAATTGTCTATTTGATCAGAAACCACTTAGGTTGACACAGTTTTTCTCCCATCACTGCCCTCTTAGCTTTCCTGAGGCATTTTTAGTAAACGCTCATGGGAATACATCTTGCTTCTTGGACCGTCTGAGAGTTACTCTCGCGTTCTCAGCTCGTAAAGCGTGTCCCTGTGCTCTGCGTACCCGCCTTGTCATCTCTGCTGTGGTTTCCCCCGTCAGCCTACTCGTGTGCTGACCTCACGGCTGCGCCCACGCAGGTGCCTGCAGCACGCCGCCTCAGACCTGCTGAGTCAGGCCGGTCTGCTGAGACGCCGAGTGAGGTGCCCTGGGACGTGGCCCGGAAACGGGTTCGCAGTAACTCAAGCTACGTTACCTGGCTCTGAGTAGGCGGGGCAGGTTCTCCTGCGTGCCTCCGCCCGCTACCGCTCGCCTTGTCTGGGAGTAAGTGCTCGAGGTCTAGCTCTGGAAACGCGGTTGGACAGTGTCTGGTCGGTGTCTGCTGACAGGTCCGCAGCGGTGTGGCTGTTGGCCTCCACCGGCTGGTGGCCATGGCTCCGTGGGTGCGCTCCGCAGCTCGCCCACACCCTCACCCAGTGGCCAGTGCGCACTCCTGCAGAACACGGGCCTGGTCCGCGGCTCCGGCCTCTTGGCCGAAGCATCTGCGTCCTGAGGCGCCCGTGCTCAGCTTTCCTCTGCGGTCGCACCTCCTCGGTCTCCCTCCAGTGCCGAGTAGCCCCTTTGTCTCCTCAGCGTCCTTTTCTGCACTGGCTTGCAGTCTGAGCTCAGGCTTCGAAGTCGTTCTCCCTGAGGTGTCCGAGAGAGCAGGCGGCGGCAAGCAGGCCTCCGTTTTCCATGCCGACTTGTGCTTCAGTGTGCTGCTTGCAATGCTTGCTTTTCCCCAGCGCCCTCTCTGGCTCTCTTCCAGCCTGAGCAACCCTTTGCTTTTCCACTGCACCTCAGCCCTTTTCAAAAGTCTTGATGGGACTCTTCTTCCTCGTAGAGTAGTTGTAGGCATTAGATGAACTAGTATGTTCACGATTTAGAACCAGAGCTTCATTTCTAGCAAGGCCCCTCATACATGTTTGCTATTAGTTCACCTCCCTCGTGCCTGTGGTTTTCACAGCCAGTGTGCTGTGCTAGCCTGGACTTGACTTATCAAGTCTTGGATCGCTTGACATCACTGCCGGCTCTCTTCTCCCGAATGTCCAGTTGAACTCTCTCCATCTGCACTCGGTTCCTTCTAGCTCAGTAGATGTCGTCACATGAACAAAGGCCATTCTGGGCGCCTGACACCCGCCAGTCATGCACCAAGTCCTGTGGATGGCGCCTCCCCATCTTCCTTGCTGCTGGCACCAAGCTTCTCTGTCTGGCACCGGCTCCCCGACGCTCCTCATGTCCATCTCCCCCGGTACCAGCTGAGAGCTTGCTGAAATGCACATTTTATCACCTCCTTGAGATGGCTGCGGCACACGTCATGCCTTTAGGTCGGCCCATTGCCGTCTCCCCGAGCATGCGCGCGGACATCTGTGGGCCACAGACAGCAGGACTGTCCATCAGGAAATTTCTCTCTGACTTTGAAACGACATCCGGTGGCCTGGTTTGGTATCTATCCTCTTGCTTAAACTCAGTTCCCAAGAACCTGTTTATGATGTTAAGGGAGGACTTAACTATTGCCGTATTTAATTTTCTCAAACACTGTAGGCGTCAGTACCTCATCAAACCATTCGGCTTCTTTCTGGAAAACTTTTACCTAAATTCGAGTTCCCTTTAATCATTGAGTTAGAGGTGAACAAGATACCGAGATAGAAATTTTTGCAAGAGAGTTGGAAACCACTCAGGCTGGGGAGTGGGCCATTCGGATCGTGAACTGAGTGTGAAGCCTAGAAAGTCAGTTCCATAGAGTAGGGGCAGGGGGAAAGGCCCCCCGCCATGGGCATCAAGGACTGTCAACAGGAAGGGCGAGAGGGAAAGCCTCAGAGCCGAAAGGAAAGGGCGGTTCCGGGGCGGATGGCCGCCTCCTGCGGCAGAGGCTTGCCTGTGACCCCACAGATACACGAAGCCTGCTTGTAATCATGTGAGCTCCCAGAGACATTTTGGGGATACTGAGTGTATCCTTTGCTACATCTACGGGGGCACTACAGAGCATTCCTGAGAGGCAGGGGTAGCTCGCTCTTCTAGAACCTTCACAGCAGCTTCTCCCCTCCGTACAGCTTTTATCCATCCCCCAAGCGTGTCCTGGGTGTGCTGAGCCCTCAGTACTTCAGCTCTGTTACTCTCCTCCAGGAAAACCTGCTGAGGACTCTGGTCTCACGGACAGCGGCACTGTTCGCTCCGTCACCGCCGGGCCTCTGAACTCGCACGCAGCAGGGATGCCTACTGGGTGCGACTCTTTTTTGTTTGCGCCGCTTTTTCAACACCAAAGCTCCGTTTTGGACTCAGTAGCTCTGTGTGATGCTGTGGGCTCAGGACTTAAAGCCATGTATGGCAACAGCCGGGGTGTGCTTAAATTTGACCGTTGGATGCAAAGTACTTGTCAGCAAAACAAACTCCCAAAACCGTTAATAAGCTATGAGGAGTTTGTCCGCTGCCCTCTGTAGCTTTGAGAAAACGTGTTTTGCAGGAGTCTTCAGGGAAGTAATGCGGTCCTTGTCATGAGAGGTGAGACACTGCTTCACTGCAAATGAGCTGTGGGTGTAGAGAATGAACTGACTGGGACACTGCCAACGGCCGCACATAAGAATCACGAAGGGGCCGGGGCGGAGGCCCCTGGTGACATCACGTAGGGGCTGTCTCAGCACCATCACAGCCACGGCCTAAGCTGACCCTGGCCAGGGGGTGACCCACAGGTGCAGCAGACCTCTCCAGTCTCCCCGCGGCTTCCCTCAGCAGGGGGTCCACCTGTTCTGCTCCCCACTGTCTCTGGGGAGTCCTCTCACCCTCCCCCACCTCTGGCCTGTACCCCAGTTCTACGCAAAACAACCAACCAACCGTGCGGGAAGATGCAACCGTGCAGCTGCCCAGGCCGCCCGCCATACCCGTTACATCCCCGAGTGTGTGGTGGGAGCCGCACCGGTCTCCAACCTTATCTCCAGGTGCAGCCCGGGAAGGGGAAGCGCTCGGCCAGGCTCTGTCGTGGGCTTCCCCGACGCTCAAGGAAGAGGCCGCTCGAGACGCAGCTGTTAGGCATTTCAGATGGCTTTTTGCTGTCCATTCCAAAGCCCTCTCTCACGCCTGACACTTCTTCAGCACTCTCGAGGCTGCAGTGTTAGGGAGCAGCACGTCGTGCCACGCACCTGTCGCGCGGGGCGAGGACTTCTGGAAGCTGCCGGCTGTGCTACCATTGTTCAGAGCTTTTGAATGACTTCTTGGGACTTTTAAACATCCTTAATAGTGGCAAATTTCCTGCTGAGGAAGGCTTCAGTCTTAGAAGTGGCCACGTCATCTGAGGCTAGTGTGACTCAAGCCGGGCAGCGCCACGCCGGCCTCAAGGCAGGACGAGGCGCTGCAGGCCCCTCTGCCTCAGCTGAGCATCAGCGGCAGATCTAGAAACACAACTCACCTGCTGATTCCCACCTCAGTGTTAGCCCCAAGCCCCATAAAAAGGGGGCAGGGTTCACTTCTGAAAGCAGGCGTGTCGTCCTTACTTTCTCACAACTAAATTTTAAAGTGTTGGCGGCTCTGGAAGCCCAAGCCAATGTCCTCTGTAGCCCTGCGTCCGTCCGTCCTCACCCGGGCGTCATCCCGGTACGCAGCTGTCCACACCCTGCAGCCTGCCTCTGGTCACGTGGAGGGGTGGTTTACACTCTGCCTTGTTACCGAAAGAATTCCAGGTGAGTCACAGGAAGAATAAATGAAAGTCAACAAAAACACACAGGTGAAAGGAAGCTAGGCAGATGGCAGAAGAGGAAACACAGTACACGCGATAAGCTGTCACACAAGAGTCAAAATTAGCCACCAGGTTTGGTTTTAAATCGAGACATTTAAAAGATAAGTTCACGGGTACGGTCCAAGATCCCAGCTGCCGAGAAGCCGCGAAGCTTCCAGCCGTCCGTGAGGCGCGGCCGTGCCCGCAGGCCTCCCTCACAGCTCCCCAGACACGGGCCGAGCGCCTGGACTGCAGGTGCTCGCTGTCCTGCACAAAGTGGGCCTGATGCCTCTGCGTGAAGGGGCGGAACCCCTGGCCCCGACCGCCCTCCTGCCTGCCTGAAGGAGCAATTCGGAAATGTAGCTGCTGCGCCCCCGGCCTCTCCCCGACTTGGGGCGGAATACCCTACTAACACAGTTCTGCCTGTGCCCCCTGAAGGCTCGTCCCCGCCCCCGAGCTCCTAAGGTAAGCACAGCGCCCCCTTTCCTGGCTTTGCTTGCTCTCACAACTTACAACACTCTTGCAGACTCATTGTCAGTGGGGCCCACGGGCAGGTGTGCTCTGCACCCCAGCTCTGCACCTGTCCCTGCTGCGCGGCAGACCACGCTGGCAAAGAGCCCCAACTTTTCCTGTGCAGCCCTCTCTGACGCCCCGTGCCGCTTCTGCCCTGTGTAGTCACCCCAGGCCAAGGGGACATGACGGTGGGGCGAGAGCGGTGCTCTGGGGTCATGGCAGACCTGGGTTCGAATCCTGCCTCCGCTGCTGTCAAGCTGCCGCTTACTCCAGCCACTCCACCTTGGAAGACACCTACAAGCTTCTCCAGAGGTGCCGCTTTACTGAACTAAACACAGTCAGCTCTACCCCCTTAGCGTGGAAGCTACTGAAAGGCGGCAGGGGGAGTGGGAAACCCGGCAGCGCCCCCCACCCTGCAGTCTGCAGTTGCGCCTGAGAGACCACAGCCAGGTTTGGGCCTAACAGCAAGGTTGAGCCAGACGGCCTCCAGGGGTGGCATAAGAGGAACGAACGGGACATGCTCACACACCCACAGATTTGGCACCATTTCGCCTCTGGGTTACACTCAGTCCACAGAGTAAAGCGTCTCCGCAGGAAGACTTAAGAGGAAGTAAAAATGAAATACTGAAATACCAAGTGCAACCCACCAAGGCTTACAAATTACTGGAAACTTCTGCTTGCTTAGAATGCTGTTAGCCTGACCGGAAACGAGTACCAAAGGCTCCAGTGGGGTGAGCAGAGGAACAGGTGTTCAGCCACCGCACGACTAACCCTGAAGAACCTGAAGGCTTCGTCTTCAGCTCCATGACTTGCGCACGTCAGTGGCCCGGGGCACACGGGGCTCAGTGCCCTCCCGGCTGACAGGCCGCCTCGCCGTTCCACAGCGCATTCGTCCTCCAGCTTGCCCGCTTGCGCCTCGGCCGGGCGGGGAGGCCAGCCAGCCCGCATGCCCACCTCCGCAGGCCTGAGCCGCGGTCACCTGAAAGGACAGCTGTTCAGCCTGCCAGGTTGCCTCCAGGTCCTGTGAAACACGGGGGGCCTTCCTGGTGGCACGGGTTAAGTCTCTCGGCACTATTAAGCTGTCTCCAGCCCCGGAGCTGACCCACAGGGCGGGGCAGACCTCTCCTGTCCCCCACTGCTCCCCGCAGCAGTGTGTTTCAGTGGTTCTGCCGGTTCTGCTCCGTACTCTGTCTCTGGTGAATCTTCTCAGCCCTCACCTCTGGCCTGTACCCCAGTTCTGTGTGCACAAATAAATAAATCCCTAAAGTGGTGCCAAGGCAAAATACTTGGAGGAGCCTTTCAGGGGGAGCTCACAGGTGTGGCCTGGATGCCTCCAGCGCACCCCACAAATGGCATTTGAAGATCTACTCCCCCATCCTTTTTTGACCAAAAAAAGACATCAAAAGCACTAACTTTAAAAGACCATTTATTCATCTCAAATATTTACAACTCGTAGATTAAAATAGTTATCAATATACCACCAACAGGTGGCGTGGGAGGGGCTCTGTGGAGGAGCTTCTCTAACCTTCACCGCTTTCATTTCTGACGGAAGAGAATTCCAGGTTATCTTTCTAGCTTTTTCCTTTCTTCTTCCTACACGATGAACCAGGCCCCTGGGTGGCCAAGGCCCCCTCGGCCCACTGACAGGCATTCTGGTCCGGCGGCTTCCCACCTCTGGCCAGAAGGGTCTCCGTGGCGCTGGGCAGGGGCCGGCATCAGGGACAGCGATGACGCGTGACTGGCATGGAGTCTCGTCAAGAAATGGGTGACACAAGGTCGGGCAAGGGCTGTTCCAGAAGCCTGCGTCAAGGAGGCCCGACGTTTCCACTCCAGTAACGGCAGCCTGCGCAGGCCAAACAGATCCTCTTGCAGAGGGCCCAAGTAGAAACATTTCTAGGCTTTAAGGAAATTACTATAAATCACTCTCTGCCTTGTTGTGCATGGTTTCAAAATGTTTAGAATGCTATAATTTACTTAAGTTTACATGAAGTTATTAAAAAATAAATACTGCCATGCAGATCTTGCTGACATTCAAAAACGGCACAAATAAATAACGGGAAATGCTGTGGAGAAACTGCTCTTGCGCACCCGTCACGGATGGCGCCTCGGGCGGGGCTGTCCTCACCTACAATCCTCACGCTGAAGAAGCTTCAAGACGAGGCTGCCTTAATGCCCTGACGGACCAAACTGTCATGCTGCGGGAGCGGGAACAAGACAAGGCCGCAGCCCAGGGCAACACCTTCCCCGGGCCGCCCCCGCTGGGCAGGGCGTGTGGCC